CCAAGTTGATTATTTATGTTCAAAAAGTTTTCATAAAAAACGATCGGATTTAAATATTTTCCTTTGACTTGTTTTTGTTTATTTTCATTTGAAAAAAATTATCGAAATCTGTTAAACTTCAGTCTTTTTTCTCGCAACAAGTAACTTCAAATTTTAATCTCAACAATTAAAGTATAGTAATTTTTGTGCTGTTATTGTTTAAAAATGAAAACACGACTTAAACAAAATTAAAAAAGTTTTATTTTTATTTCTAAACTTATACTTCCAAAAAAAAAATCAAAAAGAAAATTAAAGATTGAATTTTAGCTATTTGCAAAGTTTTAAGAACTGTCATCAAAATACTGTATTGCCAAATGTTTCGTTGGGAAAAAAAGTACATATTTGTTTATTTGTAACATTAAACAGTGCAGCTTTTATCCGGGCAGTAATCTGCAAATAAAGCCAACAAAATTGTTTTTATTTTCAACAATTTCTGCAAACTTTACTTTAGTTTTGAAAATACAGATAGTTCTTTGCCTGTTTTCAAAAAGCGCTCAACTGTCGATGACTCAGCGATAATAATTTCAGCAAAACGCCTAACTGCACTTTTTACTATTCTGCTAAACACTATTGCACCAATTAATGTCATACTTTCCCTAACGATTAATTGCTGTCTATTTGTTACCCTTAACACTGCTTACTGTTACCAGATCATTCAATTGTTCAAAACGCTAAAACAGTTTCTGTTTTATATGCAACAAAAATTCTATAAATCTTTCAGTTATTTAAAAGAATAAATGAATATCACAGTTATAATCCACCAGTGAACATAAGGGCAGTCAATGAGGCAGAACTACAACTAAAACTTGCATTTTTAAAATTTTTGCAAAAATGAAGTCTTGACTTTTTGATCAAGTAAAAATTTATAATTAATTGTTGAGGATCTGTTCACTGTTTTTACAGCAACTTTATCCCCAAGGATAAACATCTAAAAGGCAAATTATTCCATTTTAAAACTGCAAAGAATTTTTACAAATACAGATTATGTTTATGTCTAATTGAGAAGTTTTTTTTGCCGTTTTTTAATTACCAACCAACGACAAAAAATATGACCACATTTACTGATTAAAATCTAACATTATATGTAAAATTCGGAAAAAAAAAGAAAGAGCTTTGATTGTCAACATATCTTTTGTTTAAGCAATTAGACCAACAATAGTTGCGTTTACGTCATTCAGATAAAGATCACTCAGATAGATCTATCACTCAGATAAATCTAACAATTTTATAATTTATATACTTTTTTTTTCAAATGTCACTCAAGTCTGTCATCTATAATCGGATTGAACAGCAGTAG